TAACAAGGTTAGCATCTCATATATATATCAGAGTTTTTTGTGCTATTTTTGATATAACCATGGAATAACTTTGTATATACCCTTACAAACCTTCATTGAAAAATTCAGTATGAGTTTTGATCGAGTCAATATTGAAATGGAATAAACTACATTTTCAAAATATCCTCATGACAAAATGGCTTTACTGGTTTTCCATGGAGAACAGGAACTGTTTAATTTGTCTACTTTTTGACCATATTTTTGTTATAACTTCTAACATCTTTATATATGACCAGCAAGTCTATATTTCTCGAAATTATTTTCAGGAACAATCGTTTCATTGAATAAAAATAACTTTCATGAGCACCAAACAAAACTGGCTGGTATCTCAATCGCCACAAAAGAAATAGATAGATAGAACAAATTTACTGGTGCTTTGAGATTCACATTTGTTCTACTACTCTGACAATGAAATGTTTTCTCGTATCTTGAGTTGAGGCGTGGTACATAAGGAAAGGATTTCTGGCAAAAACATAACAATCTGCACTGACAGCAAACAAGCCTTATTAACCTTGAACAGACAACGTGCTGCCTCAGGGCTAGTACTAGAGTGCCACCAATATTTAGCCAAAGCACCGGTAGGAGTAAAGGTATTCGCATTGCTTACTCTTTAGCCAAGGAAACGCTGGACTAAGAATTTTAGGACCCAGTGGCACTTACGGCCTGATGACTTCATCATTTGCGAAACTAGCCAAATGATACACCCATGCTCGTGAGGATGTACAATGGGTCACATGTGGCCTAAGTGCTGTGGTCTTACACTAACCCTCCCTACTCTACAGATACAGAACTTTCATAAGCAATGCTGCTATTTGAAATCGAGTATTCGTATATTGGTGAATAACTTAAAGAGGCTGAAATACATTGAAATCATTATCGTAAATATATTTATTGAAAACCTTTTTCTGTTAATCTACTCATCAAACCTGAAATTCTAACGAGAACTCGATATACCAAACACTGTTTGTCAACTATTCATCAGGAATTGATTTTTGATGAAAGAATCTGAAATGAATCTCATTTGGACCTTGTTACTGAAATAGTCTCTCTAATTTTTCCTTAAGCATACTCTGTAACCTAACAAAAATCATCTTTCTAGGAACTGGCTCATAAACTCTCCAGAAGTTTCGATATGAAAGATGACCAGAACCTCCTGGAAGTTGAAGGTGGCATGAGACGTCACCAATCCATGCAGAGATTAGCGAGAGATGGTATGCCAGACACTCGAGACTCCGCAAGAGTAGTCCAAGATGACGAGGGCAACCTGAGAATAACCGTGAAAAAAACAAAACCAATACTGGGAATCGCTATCGAAGGGGGAGCTAACACGAAACATCCATTGCCGAGGATCATCAATATCAATGTAAGTAAAATTCAATGAATTCCTTTAATGTTTGGGGCAATACAACTCCGAACTATATCCATTCAACAAACAAAGTGACCCCAACAAAGATAGATGCGTAATCAAAGCATGATCACCATGTATATTTGCATATATTGGGTAAAATAAAGAAGCCTCCTTACGCTGGTCAATCAGATTCAACTGTAATCGGCTACCGGAATTCATGTTACAGTGTCGAAGTGGTAAGTTACGTTTTAAAGCCTGTTGCATGTACAGAGTGGGCCAAATTAAACACTTTTGAAGGGAAACTCCTGTTTCCAAACTAGATGGATGAAAATTAATGACTGTGTCTGGGAATCAAATTTTATGACAAACTCAATGATGAAAACCGCATATCGACATCTATCATCGTTTCAGAGTTACAGCATGTTTTTCAATGGTCTAGATCGTCTAGAAACTTATTTTTTCGAATGAGATACTAATAGTTATTGATGAAAAACTGAAAATATTACTGGAGTTTTTTCCCAACACCAAATCGTTATTTTTAACACCTCGACATGTGTTTCGATCACCAAGTGATCGTCTTCAAAGAGGAAGATTTCAGTTTTAATCTCAAATTAAATTAAATTAAAACTGAAATCTTCCTCTTTGAAGATGATCACCAATGTTTTGACAGAATCAGAATCAACGAACTTAGACGTGCGCAGCGTTATAGAACCGTGCTTCAAAAAAATTACTAATTATTGGAAAATGAAGGTTTCGTCTTTTCACTTCTCCATCTTGATACAAAAAAATGTGGGGATTGCAAACAGTCGGCTGGCAAAATTATAGTATAAATACTTTGGGATGTGCATAGAATAATATTCATCAACTAACTTGAAACGAGAAAACTATCCACAACGACTATTACATAGCGTTGTTGGAGCGTTTGAAAAAAAATCACTGAAAAACGATGCACCGTGTCATAAATCACTGAAAATGATGGAAAAACTTCATTGGGCTTCGAATTGATTCCGCATCCACTGTATTCTCCAGATTTGCCCCCAGGCGACTTTTTCTCATACCTTGAAAAAAAACTCGCTGGAAAATATTTTAGCGCCGATGAAGAGGTAATCGTCGAAACTGAGGCCTACTTTGAGGCAGAAAACAAATCGTACTAGAATAATGCTATCAAAAAATTAAATTGTATAACCGCTATGATCGTTGTGTCGCCCCCGAAGGCAACTATATTGAATGATGAAATAAAAGTTTATCAAAAAAATGTTTTTCCTATGTTTGCCTATGAACTTCAGCCCAATATTGAATTCATAAATAGAGCTGCCTGTGAAATCTTTAAATACTTCGGAACTCAGAAAAAAGAAAGCTCTTCATAGAGAATAAATTGAAAGGAGTATATTTCCAGTAAAGGTTAATTTCTCGGTACTGTGGCTAAAAGTGTTCCATGTGAGTACATTATATTCATACATTATATTGTGTAGCGCTCTTATAACTGATATCTGATTTGATTTCATAACGAATGTTTGGAACATAAAGTGAAAAGGAAGTTAGGTTAGTATAATTTCAACATTCATAATTCTACATTTTTTTTTGTAAGATGGAGAACTAGAAAGCAAAAGCCTTTCTTCCACAGAATGTATCTCTAAATGAAAATGCTTTTTCAGGTAATGTTAGTTTGAGGAATTTCAACGATGTTATTCTTTCGAAGAATAACATCGTTGAAAGTGCGGTTCATAGTTTCCTTCTATTCAGTACGGTTTGCTAATTTGCATGATAATACTTATTCAAACCATTTTGTGTGCTGTAAGATTTCAGCTCGAAGCTGAATGCGAAATTCACTGAATGTAGTGGTAAAAATGAACTTTGCATAAAAGAAATCCTTTCGATGTAAAGTGAGAGAGGCATTCAAAATTGCTTAGTAAACTTGTTTTATTGAATACATTTCTGAGATTCAGAGAAGGTGATACATTACAGTTCACAATTGAAATAAAAGAATTTTATTTACTAAGTTACTACACAGGCAAATCGACGAATAAATGTTGAATGAAAATATTACGCGATAGTATCTAGTGTCAGCAGTTTCTCTATTTCAAATTATTTCTCAGTCAATCCTATGAAGGTAACGACAGTTTGTGTCAGTACATGTTTCGCATAAGACAGATTAGGCATAGATTGGAATTGGCCGCGGTGGTAGTGCGCCCGACCCACGATCGGAAGGTCGTGGGTTCGATTCTTGCCTCGACCAGATATTTTTCTCGACAGAATTTATCTGGTTGAAGCTGGAATGATTCTGCAACCGTGTTAGGAATCACATCTTAAAAGGTAAGATCTCGCTGGTTCTTAGCTCGCACAAGTTTCTCAACTTCTGAGAGTGTTCGTTCGTATGGGGGCGACAGCTGATTAACGGAAAAACAGATTTTAAAAACAGATTTTTTTTTAAACATATATCTCAAAAATATTCAAAACTATGCGTGGGTTTTCGGACTAACTGAACTAACCATCAATGAACTCTCTAACGGTAGCCTAATATAGTTTTTCAATACCCTCGCAAACAATAATGCTTGAGACTCACATAATAAACATTAGTTATAATTGATCAGAGAGTAATTATTTATACAGATACAAACGGGAGGTACCGAAAAAAAGTATTCACATACTACATGGGCTGAAAAGTCTTGGGTTTAACACATAGATGGCGCTGGTCTTATTGCATTCACCGCTTTTTCAGTTAGTAGGTACTAACCTTCAATCTTCCATTCTTGTAACAATCACTCAATATATTACAAAAGGTATTGATTATCAGTCTCAGACTGATGTCATCTACACTGATTTTTCTAAAGCGTTCGACAGACTTGACCATAGTATGCTATTCAACAAGCTTTCGACTTTTGGGTTATCCAATGAATTAATTACCCTCTCCAAATCGTATTTTTACAACCGTAAGCAGTACGTCCAACTCAGTGTCCTCAAGTATATCGAATATATAGTCACATCTGGTGTACCATAAGGATCAAATCTAGGACCCCTACTGTTCAATATGTTCATTAATGATATCGGAGCTGAGATTGATGCCAATTTCCTTTTATTCGCAGATCACTTGAAACTCTATCACAATATAACATGTTCTAATGAATGCGAACATCTCGCCCTGAATTTGAACCGCTTTGCTACATGGTGTCGGAAGAATAATCTATCTCTCAACATATCCAGATGTAATGTAATGCCTTACTCACTGAAAACGAACTTGAATTCACACAACTACGATCAATAAAATTGAAATATAACAATCTTATTATTCATAGAAAAATATTTAGTATGGGAAGTTAATTTGCTATATTTTCAGACAAACGAAAGTCTATTTTTATTACCAACAATGTTTCATGGAAAAACTTTGACAGTCATTCAAATATATTCATTGAAATTTTATTCCCAAACTTACTTTTAGACAGTGANGTTGAATTCATTGGCTATGTCTCTGTTGTTTGTTAGGAGTACTCCCTGATCATTTTTTATTGGTCCAATTGTGGTTGATTTAGGTTCAGTGCCAGTGATTTCTTTCACAATATTCCATAGTTTTTATCATACGCCTCAGAACTCTCGTGAATCAACTACCATATTTTCAAGCACTTCGATAACTTTCTTAAAGGTCGAACTCTCGCCTATCAGGACTGGGCAAAAACTGGCTTTCGTCGACTTCATCGAATCCCCGAATTTTTATACTGACGCAATTAATCGACTTGTGTTATGTTGGCCAAAGTGATCAAAATATCTCATTTCGATTGAATTGATTACGCCTTTAATGAGATATTACAGTTTAACGTAGACTCATATAAATGAAAAATACTTTTGAAACAACCTGAAAGACTTTGTAGAGGAACCTCAATGCGACACACTCTGTACGTGGTTATGAAAATGGTTTCATAAAAAGTCTACCCACAGCATGATTATATTGTTTATTAATGAAAAACCAATGATACCTCGGTGGTAGTATATTATACTTTCAATGCTGTAGTCAAGAAGTGCTGTAACCTAACCAGCATCTCATTACTACCATTATCCGTCAATGGCCGTATTCTTTCATTTCGTTTTGTATGACTCGTCTGGAATGTATTTGAAATTGAATTAAATCATTCCTTTTGTAATATACAGGGAAAAATGTAAACATTACTGTGCACTTATAAGAAAAATCATACATTTCAGTCATATTTACTTGATGAAAATCTATAACGTATTCAAAAAACACATTATTGTGAGATTTCAAAACCGCTGTGTTTCGCTATATCACACCTTCCTCAGGCGAATCTATACTAATTAAAATCTACATATTCAATGCTTTATATATAATACTCGTAATACAGCATTTATTGCCCAACCTATCTACAAGGCACTTTTTGAAGGATAGCAAATACAATATAATTAGAAGTATAGTGACAGTGTTACAACGAATAAAATATGACATGGATTCAACATTAAAATTAATAGAAAAAAAGATTACATCTATGATTGATTCCCAAATTGTTTATAGATGTGCTCGAGATCTATTTCTCAATTCATTCTTACTGCAGGTAAAAATATTACAAATATTTGATAATTTGTTAGCATTTGAACACATCACAATAATTGGTGGTTTAGACATAATATTTGTTTGAGCTCTTTTGCACTCAAAAGTGATATTTTTTGATCTAGACTCCAATCTGGGCACATGAAAATCTATTTGTGATGATAGTACAGGGGAGTCAACTTCACAATTCAGTAGCTTATGTAGAAATATTATGGATGCTTGATTTCTGCGTAGTATATTAATATATTCAGATCCACTTGAAGGATACATTCCATCAACCTTGAAGCATAGAAATTTCAAAAACTTTTTTTAGACTTTCTCGATGGTAAAGAAAGTGCATGATGCACTTCTTTCAATTTATGGGCAGTTTCGTCAGCCTACTGAGGGAGCTATTCGTAAACTTGTGACTGAATTTCGAACCCAGTTTACATTATTGGACATTAAACCACCAACACGCATATGTAGAGTGAGGATCAAAAGAAATATTGCGGCTGCATCCGCCAGTGTTCATGATGACCGTGAAATGTCGATTCGCCACCGATCGCAGTAATTGGGCCTCTTTTACTCCACTACGTGGAAAATTTTGCGAAAGCATTTGGATGTGAAACCTTATAAGATACAGCTGGTGTAAGAATTAAAGCCACACGACCTTCCACAACGTCTAACATTTGGCGATTGGGCGCTGGCAAAGTTGGAGGAAGATCCACATTTTTATCGAAAAATTGTGTTCAGCGACGAGGCTCATTTTTGGTTGAACGGATACGTTAACAAGCAAAATTGCCGCATGGATTATGGGTCGGTAGCATCATCGGGCCGTACTTCTTCAAAGACGACAATGGCCGGAACGTTACTATGAAACAATGGCCCAATTAAGAGCCTGATCTGGAAGCCAATATTGAAGCATTTATACGTGAAAAACCAGTCGATATGTTAGAGAGAGTATGCCAAAATTGGACCTTGCGCATGAGCCATCTAAAGCGGAGTCGCGGACAACATTTGCATGAAATCATCTTCAAAAATTACATTATATTGATCGTTCTATCGATTCCAATGAAGATTTCATCAATTTTTTCAAATTTTTTGTGTTGTTTTGAAAATTAAATCCTATACCTATCAAAAAATCACCCATTATGTAGGAAGACTCTCACAATAAAGTGTTTCTTGAGTATATTTCAGAAGAATATCCAAATAGGAATCACACGTTAAAAGCTAAGACCTAGTTAGTTCTTGGCTCGCATAAGTTTCGACTTTTGAGGGTTGTCGTTTGTAGGAGTGTGATAGCTGGTTAACGGAAAAAACATATTTTAATCATATATAAATCGAAATTGAATACTCTTTTTGAATGAACAGCAAATTTGATAACCAGTTGAATGACATTTTCAACGACATATGTACTTTTATTTTATTTTATTCCAACTGAGAATTCATTACTGCATAATTGAGTATTTGTTCCTATTTTCACTGAACTAAATCCAACGTTCAATCATCGTATGCATGTGTCTCCTACAAACCTATAATTAGTTGTCATAAGACCACCTGGGTAGCTGTATGAGAATAAGGGGCATATGAAGCATAAATTTGCGGAATGAATAAAAGTCAAAACAATAGCTGAAATATCCATAGGCGTGTCACACAAGAGTTGATGACGTTGATTATGAAAATAAACAATGCTTATGAATCATTTTCTCACAACAACTAAAACTATTAGTCTTGACAACTGAATTGGTTGTCAATTTTGTAATTAGATAATGATATTCTGTGGTATGATTCAAAAATTCGCATTTTCCACCAGGCATGCTAAGTGGTTCTGCGCTCGACCAAAAGGTCCCGAGTTCGAATTCGCCTTCGACCAGACAGTTTTAACGATATCTGCAGGTTGTTATTCCTGAAGTTTTATCTTCGACTGCGGTGCAGATTTGCACATGAAAAATCAAGACAGAAATTGCTCTTCCATCCAACCTAGACGTATTAATACAAGTGTAATTCAGTGCAGGTAGCCTGACTTCATTGATGTTAATTATCTCTTATTTTTGGTTGAAATTGTTTCAATATTAACATTCCTCCGAATCTTATTCCCTGGTATCTCTTTTTCGCCACGGCGATACTCATCCCCAAATCTCCAGCCAATCATAAAACTCGGTTAGTAAAAATTATTCAATATGAACAGCCAATTCTTTAGTCCACGTGGACTAGTTGGCAGCGGCATTATTTCTCTGTATTGGTTTTTTGGCCATTGAGATGCCGATAGCTTTAACTATTCACAATACAGGTTACTTCGACTATACCACCGGTGTTGCTAAAGGCCCTCTGGGTTCCTTAGCTGACCTAATTGCATTTGTATCAGGTCATTTAATTCAAACAAATGGACGAAGTCATGCCCATATCCAATATTTCAGGCATAAAAATCTGCAGACCACGGTCAACAAACCCGAAAAAAACTTTGACACATTATATTTTGTTATTATAAAAAGTTACACCCTTTTATTTCAAACGGGAATTTATCTAATTTCTATGTTAGTTATATGTTTTATATAATATTGTGTATTAGGATTACCTATTTCAATAAATATATTCTTCTTCTTCTTCCCCAAAATAACCTGAGTTCTGGAAATTTTTTAGTATTTTTTTACTTTTCAGAACACCTGAATACATAGAAGTCAGTTGAAAACATCCAGACACCTTTTTTCTTGCAGACTTGTATTGATCTAATTGAGACGAAATATTACTGTGATTGCAATTTTATATTAGACGTTTTTAAGCAGCTGTTAATATTTCTTAGATACAATGAAACAACTAGTGAAGACGACAATATCCATCTTCAGTAAAAGTAGCAGCAAAACTCTTATTTGAAGTTATTGTCAGCAATCTTTGCAATCAAATTTGGAATATACAGTGTCACCATTAAAGTGCGCACCATATGGGAAACTTTTTTTTCGAAAAGTTTCAATGAAGTTCAACTTCGGCACTTGTTTGTGCTTTAAATTTAACTTAAAATGATGCGGCCAACTGCGACCCACTGACGTTCAGTGTTTGTCAAATTCAACTTTTTTTTGAAAAAAATTGAAAAAGTG